TGCTCTCGCACCCTTCGTAAGCTACGTGATTTAGCCGCTGCTCGGCTAAGTGTTTATCGCAAATGTTAATTATGTTTGGCCGGCAAAGTCCAATAGATTATATCAAATACATTGTCTATAGGTTTCACGTGTAAACAAAATGTTTGATAAGGTGCTTTATGCCTTTATGTCCATTGATTTTGGTTATCAGTCTGAATTGTATTTACTTCTTTGATTGCATTTAATATCTATAATCCAAAGTGTAAAGGCTGGTAGAGCAGACTTTGATATGTACTATGCACTTCACACGGACATTGTATCATCTTATCTTTATCTTTAGAGCTTGCTATCTTTAGTGATCTGGAAGACGGCTATGGCATCAACCATGAGTACATGTCCCACGAGGATCTCTACAACTCCACCGTAAAGAAGGTCGCCGAAGCAGCACCTAAGCTGAAGGCCCTGCAAGAGAAACTGAATCCCGGCGGCAAAGACATTTGGCCGTAAGTTCAACTCATGATTGACCTAACTGAGCTAAAACTAATTATAATTATTCATAGTGGTTGCCTGTTCCGCGTTCAGAGCCACGGACTCTTTCCGGCTAATCATCCGCTGGCCACCCACATTACCATGTTTGTAGACGTGATCAAGGGTCAGGGCACACCTGAGCAGGTGGAGAAGTGGGGAACTTTAGCCGAGAACTGCAATATAATTGGCACCTATGCTCAAACAGAACTGGCCCACGGAACCAATGTGCGTGGCATCGAAACACGCGCCGACTACGATCCCAGGGCGGGCGAGTTTGTGCTCAACACGCCCAACCTGAAGGCCTACAAGTGGTGGCCCGGCGGCCGTAAGTGCTTTGCATATATAAACTTAATCTTGAGTGCTTGAGTATTAATATTCAATCCTCTTCACAGTGGGCCACACGGCCAACCACGCCATGGTGGTTGCCCAGCTGTACATATCCGGCAAACACAAGGGTGTGCAAATGTTTATTGTGCCGCTGCGTGATCCGGAGACCCACATGCCACTGCCAGGCATCGACATTGGCGAGGTGGGCAAGAAGCTGGGCATGGCTGCGGTCAACCAGGGCTTTTTGGGCCTGAAGAACGTGCGCATCCCACGCACCAACATGCTGATGAAGTACGCCAAGGTGGAGCGCGACGGCACCTTCATCGCCAGCCCCGCTTCGAGGGTTAACTACTTGACAATGGTTTACACGCGCTGCCTCATTGTTAACTTGAACTCATCGCTATTGCTCCAGGCGGCCACCATAGCCACTCGGTACTCGGCCGTGCGTCGCCAGAGTCCCATAGAGCCCGAGTAAGCAAGAGACTTTTAACTGATTGACATATTACTCTGACTCTTTTGTTTTTAATATCAGTGAGGCCGAGCCGCAGATCATTGATCATGTGACACAGCGACTGAAACTGTTCCCCGAGATAGCGACCGGCATGGCCTATGACATCGCCGCGAAGCACATGTGGGAGCTGTACGATCAGACGGTGTTGGATGCCAACAATGGAAAATTCGATCGTCTGCCCGACATGCACATTATGTCGTGTGCCCTGAAGGTCCTCTGCACCACCGACAGCTGCGCGGGCATTGAGCGTCTGCGTCTATCCACTGGCGGCCATGGCTATCACATTGCTGCCAATCTGAGTAACATTTACGGCAATGCCGTAGCTGCGTACACCTATGAAGGCGAAAACACCGTGCTGCTCTTGCAGATTGGACGTGCTCTGGTCAAAGCTTGGAACAGTTTTAAGCAAGGCCAGAGAGTCTCTTCCGCGTATGGCTACTTTGAGTCTTCTATGCGCCTGAAGGAATTCCCCAAGTGGAACAATTCTTGGCAGATTATTATTCAAGCCTTGCAATATACAGCTGCACAGTAAGTGTGTTACATGTACAGCTTGGACTCTGACTAAACCCTTCTATATTTATAGTAAGACACGTATCGCATTTGAGAACATGTCGGAGAGAATTGCTGCTGGGCAATCACAGGGTGTCGCAGCCAATAACACGGGTATCGAGCTCACCCGAGCTGCCGAGGTGAGTTATTTTATTATACTGCCTTCAACAAAACGGCTAATCTTTAATATCCTTTCGATAGTTCCATGGTCGCCAGTTTGTGTGTGAAACGTTTTTGAACCAAATTACTGGACCTAATGCACAGAATCGTTCGCCCGCCTTAAACAAGGTGCTGGAAAATGTGCTGGAGCTGTTCCTGGTGCAGACTGTCCTCAACAATTTGGGCGAGATCTTGAGAGTAATAAGAATACTTCTAATATTGCAGTTTGGTTAAATCTGATTAATCATGTATTCGCGTTTCTAGTTTGTCAATCTGACCGATGCCGATCTGAGATCTCTACAGAAGCGTCTGGAGGTGTCGCTGGAGAAATTGCGTCCCGATGCGGTTGCCATCTGTGATGGCTTCGACTATCACGATCGCGTGCTTAACTCAGTGCTGGGCAGCTACGATGGCAATGTCTATCCACGTATCTTCGATGCGGCCAAGCGCAGCACCATGAACCAACGACCAGTGCAAAAATCATTTGAGACCTACCTGAAACCCTTGATGAAGGCCAGTTTGTAATATGTGTGCAATTTGGGAATGGGAATGGGAATTAAAGAGAAAATCAACCTTTGCTGTTAGGAGATGCATTTTAAAAATACAATTAAATGACATGAATGATGTTATTATATTTAAACAACAAACAACCTTTTTATCACTATGCATGGAGAGAGCAATTAAGAGTCGGTAAGTAGCCATCCACTTTCATTATAATCATTTCTACATCATGTTTAAACTGAGGATTATAACGATTTAGAATCGTCTGAGGCCCCTTCCCATTTCCAGATGTAAACACTCTTTCATTTTGTTTAAATTAGTTTTATTCCGTTTTTATTTAGCAAATCAAAACCAATTTCTCAGTACATTCAGCGCATTTAATAAACTAACAAACTAAACGCTTACATAATAGCAATATAAAAAAAATAAAACACATTATGTAAACTTTTTGAAAAGAGAGAGATAGCGAGAATCGAACGTAGTTGAGCTACGAGTAAATATGTGTGTATAAAAAAGTTGCAGTTGCGTTTTTTACAGTGTAGAAAAAGTTGATATTCGTATGCAGAATGTGTGTGTTGTGTGTGTGGATTGTATTTTTGTTCTTTTCTCGGTTTTTGTTTTTTAATAATGATGAAAGTTTTTGTTTAAACACTTCTATACTGTCTGCTGTGTATATATAGTTAAATTACATATGAATTATTTAATTATATATGCATCATACATGATAATTACACACACAATTGATTTAGTTGGCTTAACTTTATGCTATTATTATTATAATTATTATTATAACTTTCTTTTCATAATGAAAATATGGCATATGAGCGTTAAAATTGAAGGAGTTTGGGTTCTTCAAAGGTTTTTCGATTAACATTTAAACAAATATTGCGGCTAATTTTATGTTGTATGTGTGTGTAAGGTTTTAACAGTATTGTGTGTATGTGTGTGTGTGTAGTGTAGGCAGGAGTTAGTTGTAAACTTAACAATAATAGACTTTTACTATTGCGTGTTTGTTCTTTGTTTATTTTTTAATATTTATTGTGTTCTTCTTTTTATGCATTGTAAAAATTATAAACAATTTAGTTAGAGCGCAAGTCGAACGTAAAGCTAAATAAATGCACAATTGTTGCATGCGTTATATTTTATTTTCGATTTTGATTTTTAGCCATGGAAGAGGAAGCAGCTGAAGTTAGGTGAAGCGCAGTAGAAAAAGTTAAATTATTTCATTTGATGTTAGGCTGGCGTAACTTAATTAAATTATACAAATTACTTTTGCTTTTATTTATTGATTTCCTTTCCTTTTCAATTTCAATAAATATTTTTCTTCTGTTTGGTTTTTTATTTAGAAAATAGTAGAAATTTTGTGTTTTTTTGTTTTCTCTAGTTGATTTCAGTTTTGAAAATGTTTTTACGCTTCGTTTTAATTTTTTTTTGTGTTTTCTTTTTGTTTGTTTCGTTTTTAGGAATTACACTAATAATTACATAGTTATGCTTATGTATAATATGTATATAAACTAAAAAACATTTATGCATCATTTTCCATATTTCAGATGTGCCACGCAGATAATTATTCGGTAATCGGATTTTTCGTTTCTTTCAGTTTTTAATTGTGATTCGATTTTATTTAAAATTAACAAACTTTCTTCTTTTTTTTTTGTGGTTTATAAATTGGAGCTTATTATGTTTTTTGTTTTTATTTTTCGACTTTATTAAAGAGTGACATCCAATTACATAATTGTGTATTCAGCTAACATATATGTTTTGTTTTTTATATTATTACGAAATTATTTCATTTTCGTTTACATCTATGTAGTTGTGTGTGTGTGTGTTTGGGTGTGTATATTATAATTATTGTTATTTTTTTTTTTTGCTCTACTCATTTATATTCATAATTAATTTGCTTAATTTTGCCCGCCCTTATATTGTTTTTTTTTTGTCACTATTTATATATTTATATATATATATATATATTTATATAATTTCTTGTTTTTGTTATTATAAATTTCGCATGATTTAATTTGCTTTTATATAGTATTTGATATCTTGTTGTTTTTGTTGCTGTTGTATTACACAATTTGCTTAAAACTTACTTAATTAGAAAAGTTTGCACACACATGCACACACACACACAGCGAAATGTGCCTGTGTGTGTGCGTGTATGTGGGTGTGTGTCGCATTTAACTTACAGGTAAGTTTGAAAATTTTCCGAATTTTCTTTTCTGTTTATTTGTTTGTTTTTTTTTTTCTTTTCTTTTCTTTTGTTACCCCTCACGAATAAATTGTGTTCTCTTAAGAGTTGCTTGTTTGCTGTTGTTTTTGTTGTTGTGTTAGTTGTTTATTTTTTTTTTTTTTTTGTTGCTGCCGTTCATTAAAGCAACTGGGAAATTTCGCGCAGTGTATTGAGCTGAGCTGAGCTGTCGATTAACCGTATTCAAACCCGTGCCAATTGCTGTTGACTGCCACGCCCACATCCTGATTTCTGCTGCTGCCGCACCCCGCTCCCCGTCTCGTCCAGATCAGCTTAATATCTGCGCGCTTGGCCATTATCTCAGGCGTAGAACTCACGATTATTCGCATTTTTCGCATAGGAATTGTTAGCGGGCGAACGCTTTGGCTCGTCCAGCGCATAGGAGCCCTCGTCCTTTTTCCGCATGCGATACACAATGAACATGACCACCAAAATGGCGCACAGCAGCCCAACCACGGCGCCACCAATGACCGCTATACGAGTGACAAAAGAGACGATCGATTATTATGCATTGATTATAGTGTATGAGTGTATGAGAAATTGGGCTCTTCTACTCACCAGCCAAGATGCCGGGCTGCGCAAAGAAACTTGTCGTGCGATCCTCCTCGCTCATGATGACGATATCCCCGCTGCCGCCGGGCCTGTGCTCGCTGATCTTTGTGTCTGTGGGCTGGCTGTTTATATTGGTGTTGGGGTCCAATTCGTGGACGTTGGTGCTGCCGCTGCTGCCACCCGCTGCAAAAATTCAATATAGAGCATTGAGTATATATATATATATGCATGTATATATGTATGCATGTAGAGTATTGGAGAGTTGATGCGAGTATCAAACGTGCAGAAACACAAATAGTTACGTAGTACATAGAACCAGTGTCCAGTGTGTAAGTGTGCGAGTGTCGCTGTGTGTGTGTGTGTGTGTGTGTGTGGGTTAATGAGCTGAACTAGATATGTGTGTGTGTGCGTGTGTGTGAGTGAGTGTGAGAGTCTATATAGATATATGCAATATGTACAGGCTTTAAAGTGCTAAGTTAGTTAGTTAGTTGTTCAGCTGGGCTCAACTACTTTGATCTGCGAGCATTTTGAGAACTTCTCTCTGGCCTATGACAGTTAGCTAGAAATTCAATTTATCAAACAGGAGTTCGCGGACCGCCCCCCCTCCCGTCTGCTGCCATAATCAGAAAACTTTTGTCACAAATTTCTGGTTTATCCTCGAACAACTCGACTAAACTTGTTTTTCCTGCCAACTATTAATCTTGCCGCCGCTGCGTTTGACCTAGTTGGCAGTTGAAAATTTGCATATTTTAACTCAAATTTCTGGCAGCTTGAAGTCTCTATACGTTTTTTCTTTTTTTCTTTTCCCCATCTTCTGTCTTATGTTATGCTCGTAAACACCTGAATGGGTAAATTTAATGCCAATTAGCACTCGGAGCAAATGAATTTTAATTAATTTAATTGACATTTCCCCTCACGCTTATGCGGGGGCACATGTCAGGAGCAGGTCAAAGGGTTTGCTTGAAATGAGCTTAAGACAAACAAACGAATAAACAAACAAACAAACAAGCGAACAAGTGAGCAAACATATTGCTTGTTTAGTCCTTGTATCCTGCTTGCAATGTCAACACAAATACAAACATCACATACGTATGTGTATGTTTATGTCTGTGTGTATAACTAAACGAGGGCTCTCCAATAAGTGACAGACAGATAGAGAGAGGGAGTGTGAGAGTGAGGGAGGCAGATTGAGTACTTTAATTAGAATCTCTGCCTAAGAGTGCGTCTACTGCATTTTCGAGCACTTTATTGAACTAGTTTTAGTTTAGTTTAATTATTGCTTTTAATACAAGTATTTATATTAGAGGTGCAATTGTAGCTCTTTGATGTTAATATAATAATATTTTGCTTAAATTGATATGCTCCAATTTAATGTCTCATTACTTCCCTATATTTAACTATTCAAACTATGCAAATACTGTCCCTATATGAACTATTCCTATTTATTTATTGGACTGCCCTCGCACATGTGCTATTGTTCATGGCTTTCAGAGCATTTGAAATACAATTCAACATATTAATTAGGATCAACATTGCCAACGGCACTTCAGATACTCCTGCCATGAGGCCATAGAAGGGGTAATCCAGCTCGTTTGCCGAAAATAGAAAATTAATGAGCATGCGGATTGAGTATTTATTTTCTCGTTCTTTTGTGCACTTGAAGCTGTGCTCAGGTTAGCTTTAAGTTGACGAAGTTCTCAGAAAGGTTAAGCCTAGGAGCCTGTGCTAGGGCGTCTCTCAAGATGTTGCTGTAAATAGTATTTGCTTTTGGCTGGGAATTGAAGCCAGCTGCTGCTGCTGCTGTTGTTGTTGTTGTTGTTGTTGTTGTTGTTGTTGTTTGGTTGTCTAATGCAAATCATAGCAGTTGCAGAACTCTTTGACTGTGGCCTGATTGAAAAATGCACTTTGCACAGCACTCCCAGTCCAACCACTGCGTATTGACGTGGGCGTGGCCAGGGGCACTATAGAATGTTGATTGTCAAAGCCAAGCAGGAGACACACAGCCCACGCCACACCGAAAACTGCTCAGACAAAGGCACTAAACGCCAATGCGTCGTATTCGCAACAAACAATGTGGCAACTGCCTGCGCAAACAGGGCGGGTGGCAAAGAGGTGCCAAGGGCGTGGCGGTATGGGTAGCGGATCGCTGATGGTGCGCCACGCCTTCTACGCCCTTCAAACAGTGATTTTTCATGTGAAGTGGCCCTGTGAAGTGTTTTCCCCTCGTTGCCAGTGGAAAATCACAGCGCAGCTTAGTGAGTTCCTTCAGAAGTTTGGTGCTGTTCAGACAGTAAATCTAATGCTTAGGGACTGTCGGTGTGACTGCTCGGGTGTGTGTGGGTGTGTGTGTATGTGTGTGTTAATGGAACTTTACAGCACACAATTGCGAACCGTGTTGTGCGGCTCAAAAAGCCAGCCAAATGGCAGCCGTTGATTGAGTGGCTTTGCTCAAGCTGGAAAAGAGGGAAGGGAGCACAGCTAAATCGATTGTTTGCTCGTTTGTTTGTTTGTTTGTTTGTTTGGTTGTTTTATTTTTTGTTTTTGTGGACTTATCGGCTCAGAAGACAGCAATAGTCATTAATTAATCCCTAACTTTCAATTTAAAATCCCCAAAAAGCTAAAAAGCCTTGGCTATAAATGAGGGCGAGAGTGAGGCAAATGAAATGAGCATGAGTTGAATGAAACTAATGTGAAATATATAGCTGAAAATTGAAACTCTGTGTTGGATATAGTTGGCAAGGGTATCAAGAGTTGGTCGTATGTGTTGTGTAACCAGAACCGAGACAAGGACAACGCGTCGATCAACGTAGAGGCAAAGAGAGGCAGATAGAGAGAGAGAGAGAGAGACATATTGCAGCAGCCGTGATGAGATCTAAACTTAAAACTAAACTCAATTCGTACTTAAACAAGAGATAAATCAAAGAAATACAACCAACTAAAAGCACCAAAAAATAAATAAACTGCCCAACTATATAAATAGAGAGAGAAAGATATAGGGATATAGGTGTGCACTGTAGAAACAATAAAAATAAAAAATATAAAACAATCAAATTAATTAATTAAACTACATAAATAATACGGAATAAGGCAAAAGCAATTAGCTAAATAAATAAATCATCAGCCAACAAAAGCGACAGCAATGCCAAAATGACAATTGAATAGTGTGGGGCAATCGCCCCTCAGAATGCAATGAAATTGGCAAATGTGAAGTCGCATTTGTTGGCTGAAAATGTGTCAAAAACTAGTCGCATGCTGCACAGGCTACACTGCAAGAAATAAGTGCAGAGTTTCAGTGCAAACTCTAATATAGATGAAATTGCAATCGAATCGATTATTGATTTCAAATATATATATATATATATATATATATCAAGTATATATATATATGTTTTCATCTTTTGCATTCACTTTTCTCGCAGTGCACTTGGGCAGTCGACTAATCTTTGGCCGACACAACTGAAGCATGCCACAGAGCGTAAACTTAAAGCATAGTAGTGTAGAAATGTGCAAACACTGCTCCCGGACAAAGCACACACAGTGAGAAATTGATAGACAATAGCAACAAAGGATGATAACAAAGGACAGTCACCAAACACAAGATATACAGAAGAATGAAAGGAAATACAAACAAGGATAACAAACTAAAAAACATAAAAAAAAGAAGGCACACAACAGAAATATAAGAGGGAAACACAAACAAATAAACAAAATAATAATAATGGAAGAACCACTGACATCCGCCGGCTGGGTGTGTCACATCCTTGTTGACACTGATCTCCGTGTAGAGTCCATCATCCTCGTCCACATTCTCATCCAAATCGATAATGTGACCATCACCATCGCCATCGTTGTCATTGCGTCCATTGGACGTCTCCACATGCGTGTGATGCGTTTGAGTGATTTCGCTCTCGGGATGTGGATCGATCAGCTGATCATCTTTGTCGTCCGCATCGTCGCCATTGTCATCATCATCATCATCGTCGTCATCACCATCTTCGTCGTCGTCATTATCATCGCCACTGCCCTGCAGCGTGTCCTCGTGATCGAAGGCATCGTCCTCATCCTCGGCATCGGGCAGCAATGGAAGTTGGGGCGTGGACTGATTAAAGGTCGAGCTGGGAGTGGCCAAGGTGGTGTTGGTGGTGGCGATGGTGCTACTGGTGTTGTCAACTGATTTCGATTGTTGTTCGGTTGCTGTGTTGTTGAGTTGGGGCGGATTGGTGGTTGTGCTGGTGGAGATGGTGGTGGTGGTGGTGCTAATGGTTGTTGTTTGTGTTGTTGGTGTGTGAGCTGCTGGATATAAAGATGTGGTTGATGTTGTGTTTAAATAAATATTAAAGAGTTTCTTGAAAAGTGGATTGTTGTCGTCGTTTCGGTTGTTGTTGTTGTTCTCATTGTTGTTGCTGTGGTTATTGAGCTTGTTGTTGTAATTACTTAAAATTATTATTGGACCTGTCGTATTATTATTGCTAAACGTTGGAATTGAAAGGAGGTTCGATATGTTTGAGGTGTTCAAATTGGATGAGGGATTTGTAATGTTTGTTGTAGTTGTGGTTGTGGTTGTTGTGGCTGTTGTTGTTGTTGTTGTTGTTGTTGTGTTTGTGAATTGATTATTAAGAGATGTAGAACATGTAACGTTGGCATTGTCAATGGTTGTTGTTAGTCTAGCTTGATCTTTACCGATTGTGCTGATGCCACTACCACTGCTGATGATGCCGTTGTTGTTGTTGTTGTTCAGGTTGTTGTTCTGGTTGTTCTGGTTGTTGATATTATGATTGCTGTTGGCGTTGGTGCTACTACCAATGATTGTGCCACTATTCGCTGGATGATTGTTATTATTATTATTATTATTATTATTATTGATATTGAGATTATTAAGATTGTTCTTGTTGTTGATGTCGATTTGATTATGATGATTGATTATACTCGAGATGAGATCGTTGTCGTCGTTGTCGTTCGTTTTATGCTTACTATTTGAGTTGCCCGCGTTCTGTAGGCGCGTGTTGTGCGAACTGGAATGGTGATCGGTTATGGCGTCCTCGTCATCGGGTCCAAAGCCAGAGCCAGAGTAGTCCGTTTCCTTTTCTAGATCATCGTGTATCTGAAACAATAGAACAAAGGCCCAAAGTTAAGTGCTTTCTTTAGCCAACAGCAGCAACTGCAACAGAAATACACAAAATACAAGTTAAGAACTGTTGCTTTTGTCCCAAATTCCCTTTGGAGCGGACGGACGGACGGACGGACTTTTGTGTGGCGCAACAAATGGCAACGATTTGCATTGAAAATTATGCGACTGCCATGTCCTTGACAGGCAGCAGCGCGTACGGTGCTTGACTAGCGGGTGCGGCCTGAAGGCGGACGAGGAGTAGGAGTGGAGGGGGAGGAGAGTGCGGCACAATGGGGCATACCTACACTGGGGACACATTTATATGGCCATTGTCTGGCATCGGGCCCCAGTTGGTTGACTATTGCGAATGCTGTGGCTTTCGTGCCTTCACTGTGGCTTTTGCGGTTTATTTGGGCAACACAGAACACACACACACACACACACACATAGACAATGGCAGAACAAACTGTGACCAATGCCAATTGTCCTGGCACAGAGGCTGCCCCCCACACTTGGCGCTTGTTTATTTACTTTAATTTTGTCGCCGTTTGCTTTGGCCCATAAAAACAGTGCAGGACACAGGACAAAGGACAGACACTGAGAGAGTGATGGAGAGAGAGAGAGACAGAGAGTGAGGGGAGCTGGACTCAAGGAGTCAGTAGCCTGAAGCAACTTAATTGAATTTGTTCACGCGTTATGAAATGCCAACATGTTTACGTTTATCTGTATAAGTGTGTACAATATACGACGAGGGCCGGGACGGAGTTGCTGGGGGGCTGGCAACGGGGCACTTGTTGGCCCACCCCGCCTGCAGCCACGCCCCCTCGCTACACAGTTCGACCATTAAGAAAACGGTTAGTCGCAGCTGCTTAGCCATCAGATGAATGCCGAATTCCTGCCTTCAACCGCAACAAAAACATGAAGCAATATTACCTTTTACCTTCGACTCAACTGTTGACCTTTAGCCAAAAAAAAAAACATCGTTATCATTATCGTTATCATCATCATTATAATGCTTATGCTCACATCGACGCCATTGGGCGCAATTCGAGAATTCTCTTTGTCCACAGAACTTTGCTAACGAATGTGCAGCGGCGCTTGAATTATTTCTAATTGCTGCGTCGGCATTCAATTAATGCGTGTCCCCATTTATCTTGCCGTAGCTGTAGCTGTAGGTGCGACAGATAAACCCACTTTTATTTACGTTTGCCATAAATCAGTTTTAGCCCTAAATTATGAACTTGGGCCGCTTTCGCCACTTAATTGAGATTTAATGGCATCTTAGCTACTAAATTGCTTGGCCTGTGCGCATTTAATTGCTTTCGAATGCTTAATCGAATGCTACAAATTATTTCTTTAAGTTCGTCTTCTTTTTTTTTTTTTTTTTTTTTATGGAAAACAATGTCAGTATAGATAATGCTATTTACATTTGTTTGCTTAAGAAGCGAATCATAATAAAATGCACCGAAAGCAATTTCTTTAGCTATTTGTAGATTCTTGGAGCTACAAGACAAAGCTACATTTTTTGATTAACTGCAAATTTTGTAAAATAAATCTAAGATATTGAAATTTGTTATTAATATGAAAAAGCTTCTGAAGTGCTGCTATGATTTCTTACAGCCTTTCAACAAGACACACATTTATCATAAGCACATTATATAACTCATCCCAGAAATTCTCTCCTTTCACAATACATTTGCTAATCTTTCCTAACAAAAACTCCCATCGATATTGATTACACCCACAATTCTATATCTAATGTCCTCTTGGTTAATCGAAAAGTTGACTCGCTTCGCTTCCCAAATTGTTAGCTTTGCTAAAACATGCCAAAGTGTGGCATGCCACATGCAAATTGAAAAGCTTTCGTCTAATTTGATATTTGTTGAATAATTACCAAGCACCGCATGCGCGTCTAATGGCGCGTGTGAGAGGGCTTAGCTGCATGCAGCTTCCCAATTTGTAGCCCATGAATAAAACATTCGAGCTGAACTCGGGCTGCCGTCCGTCTATTGCTACGGAAACACGCGGCATTTAATTAAATATAATTTTTATTTTTAGATAGCGCTCAGGCGTTGAAAGTGAAGCGCATGTTTTTGTAATTTATTTTGCACACACTCACTCCACACACACACACACACACACACACACTCGCACACACACTTCCATTAGAGACAAATTGAAAGCATACAAGCCGGCGGCTCAACAACTTTGGCAAGCAAAAAAGCAAAAACAAAATACAATACAAAATTTTACATGAAATGCGCTTATGGCGAAAATTTGTTTTTCATGTTTGGTTTTTATGCTGTGTGTGTTTTTTTTCTCTCACTCATTTGTTTTTTCTTCGTTTGCGCTGCGCAATTTAATTAAAAAATTTACGACGTTTGGAAAAATTGTATTATTGCGTATACGCACTGCGGGCCAGCATTTTTATGGCGCTCATAAATTTTCGTATATGTGTGTGTGTGTGTATGTGTGCTTGTGTTTGTGTGTGCACATTCGCGCATTTGTATACACAAATCATTTGGTCAAAAGTGGCTCATAAAGTATAACAAAATGTTAGCCAGTTTTTTGTTTCTATTTCGTTTTTTGCTTTGTTTTTAACTGTTTCGCATATGGGCCTGCTGCCTGCTCCTTGGCTGCACAGTTTATTTAAAACGTTTTTCAAACAACATTTTAGCTAGTTGCCCCAGCTGGAGGGAGCTCGAGTGGCAGGCCCCAGCCCCTGCCCTGCTTCGTGCCTGGCCACAATTCTTTGTCGCTGTTTTCCCCGCTTGATTTATGCAGCAATTAGCAGCGGGGCGTGGCGAGTGGGCGTGTTGCGGGCATTGTTGCTGCTGCTGCTGCTGCTGCTAGACTGCGCGCTGTTGCTCACGTGGCTGTTGCAAGTTTAATTGCCCTGTTGCCGCCTCGCTGCTGTTTGGGCCACATTTGTTGCCTACTTTTCAGCGCGGCCGCCAATGAATGAACTCTCGATGCAGGCGGCAGGTCTGCCAAATTGCACTTTCATAGTTGCGGTTTACGCTTACTTAGGCGCCAGCCTTTTGGCCATGGCTCTTGGCTCTTGGCTCTTGGCCGTTGCCTGCTGGCTGCTGGCCTCATTAAACATGGCCCGCAAACGTTATACGCGATCGATAGACTGCTCGCTCGCAGCTGCGGCGGCAACTGTGAATTTTATGCAATAAATTGCTTTGTTAATAAAACATGAGCAGTGGGCGTGGCTAGCGGCTGGCGGCTGGATGATGCTATGTGGGTCATGCATGAATTTAAATGATGTCATTTGAACGTGCCACCTGCAACGGCAGAGCAAGAGAGAAACAAAGAGAGAGAGAGAGAGAGAGAGAGCAGCTGCAGCAAAAGGCAGCAGCTGCTGCTATTTTCAGTTCAACTTAATGGCGCTGACTTTAATATTTTTCGCATTAAATTTGCATTTGCTGTACTGCAAATTCCAGCTGCAGCATTTGCAGCAGCTGCTGCTGATACTGTTGCTGCTGCTGCTACTCCTGCTGCTGCTGCTCCTGCTGCAACTATTGCTGGCTGGCCAACGTGGCGTATGCTTGACACCGTTTGTGATATATGAGCGCCAAGCCACTCGACTCGCCTCCCCTGCTGCTCGCCTGGACTCGTCTCGTCTCCGCTGGCAAATATGAAATATGCAAATGCTCACATAAAAACGCTTTGCACAAAGTTAATATCGAGCAGCTGAAAATGTTTTAAAGAGTTTCTCCAGCTCCTCGCAGTTCAATTTCAACTTGCACCAAAAGCTAAACTTTGCAGCTGAAGTGCAAAACTGCAAATCAAATTTATAAAGGAGAGCAACAACAGCAACAGCAACAACATCAACGGAGTACAACAAATTTCTTTGCCTTAATGAAAACAGCAAGCAACGAGCAGAAAAGTAACTAACACAAAATAAAAATAAAAATAAGAAAAGAAAAATATTAACAAAAAGTGCGCAAAGAAACGGGCAACAACCTTCAAGCATAATGAGCGCGGAAAACTATGTCAGCTCAGATGATGTACAACAAGGCAGCCAGGAAAAAAGGATAATAAAGGAACACATAAAAAGGGTATCATAAACTTGTGCAAGTTGCAAGCCAGAGGCTGAGTGTATTTCAGGCACAGAGAGAGCACTATAAAGTACTTCGTATATTGAGCAGAGAAGCTTAAGAAGTATTTTATTTACATAGAAATTCTTAAAGAGAAATCAAGTTAACCTGATTTGTATGTCTCTTCGAAGCGGGTGGAAGAATTTCAGATATTGCATATATAATGAGAGCTGTTGAAAACTTTGAAAGGTTTATTGAGCAGATGCAAAAAATGTTTTCAACTCTAGAATAGGCATGCAATTTCATTTAGCTTTAATTTAACATACATATGCGACAATTAAAGCATTCTCATCATGTCATCTTGGCCTTGCTACATCTTCTCTGCTCCATTAACATTTTCACTCACAAACCATTTGCAATTCTAAATTATTATTTGGCAAGTGAAATAGGTAAATACGCAGCACAATCATAATTTATATGATAATCTCATGAATTTTTCAGACTATTCCTAATGAAGTTTTAGACTGTTGGGTGGCTGCAGATAATGGGCGTATTGAAGGGGGGCAACGGCAACGGCAACAGCAACAGCAACGCAACGTTGTCCGCCCACTTGTTTCGCTTTACTTTTGGGTCCTAGGCAAACGTTTGGTAAGCACTTGTCATGTGCAGAACCAGCACAGCATCAGCCCGAGCACTGAGCACCGGCTCCACCTTGGGGCCAAAGGACAAGTTGTTTTCCTGCATAATTAATGCAGGCGAAATTCAATTTTGAGTTGCTGCCTTTTCTGTATTTTGCTGCTCATGTGTAGAGGACACACGCAACAGCCGACAACAATTTGTTACCCTTCCCTCCCCTCACCCGTGCCAACCACAAAGCTAGGCGCGTGTTGCCTCCAGTCTGCCCCGTCTTTCTGCTGAAGTGAAGAGATTTAGGGAAATAAATTGAGG